GGGGGGAGGGGGGGGTCAGGAAAGGGAAGAGGAAGTCACTTCCTGCTTAAACTTCCCAAGGATTTGGGGGGGGGGCTGGGAAGGTCAGACTCTACATCCAATTAACTAGCAAAAGGCTGGGCTGGAGGCATGGCTCAAGTAGTAGAGCAACAGCTCATGAGCAAACAATGGCACCAAGTTCAAGCACCAGTTCTGGCACTAGTCATAATAACAGCCAGGTACTGGTGGCCCACACCTGTAATCCTAGCTTTACATGATTAAAGGCCTGGCATCAAGAGGCTGAGATCTGAAGACAGTGCACGTAGGAAATTCCATGAGACTTACCTCCAAGTAAGCAACCAAAGAGCCTGCAGTAGAGCGGTGACCAGCACAAAATAATAATAATAATAGCTTCTATAAAGTCAGTATCCCATCGAGTATCCCATCATGAAAGGATTTTTAGGAATGCTAGAAACCAGTCCAGGCACAGTGGCTCACGCCTGCGGTCTCAGCCACTAACAGGAGGTAAGAGATTAGAAGGCTGGCCTTAAGAGGCTAGCTCCGGGGAAAGAAGCGAGCAAGATTCCATCTCAAATGATAAGCCCAGTCAGGTTGTGGGTTCCTGCCATTCCAGCTATGCAAGATCTTCAGGAGGAGGCTCACAGTCCAGGCTAGCCCAGAAAAAAAAAAAAAATGTAGATACTGTTGGGACAATAAAAGCCCAGAAGACTAGAGCATCTGCCTAACAGGCTTGAGGACCCAGAGTGCAAACCCCAATACCACACACATACACCCCCCCCAAATATCCTGCTAGAAATCATGTAAATGCTTTTTAGAACCCCAGCTAGGATTGATTTGATCCAGGTCCATTTTGCCTGCTTCAGGTGCTTTTATAAAAGCGGGGGGGGGTAGCAGGGGGAGGGCAGAGGGAGGGCTGGGAAGGTGGCTCAGTGGTAGAGTGCTTGCCTCGCATGCATGAAGCCCTGGGTTCGATTCCTCTGCACCACATACACAGAAAAAGCCAGAGGTGGCGCTGTGGCTCAAAGGGGTAGAGTGTTAGCCTAGAGCACAAAGAGGCTCAGGGATGATGCCCAGGCCCTGAGTTCAAGTCCCACAACCGACAAAAAGAAAACTCCAAGTGCAGTAAATCATAAGCGATGGCACGCGGTGCTGGGGTGGCCTGTAAGAGTCTTAGAGGTCTCATGAGGCAAAGGGCCCTGGCTTCAGGGCAGAAAACCGCTTATTTTGCAACAAACTGAAAGGTCCTTTCTGTCTCTTTAACTTGGCTATAGGCAAGGTCCCCACATACAATGCGGTGTGTGTCTCAAAGCTGGTGGCCCGGCTTGGCACAGTTCTGAAAAGACTCTCTATTTCAACGGAGAAGAAGGATAAAAGAATGAATGAATGAGCCAAGTTTCCTCTGGAAGCTTTTCTTTTTTCTTTTTGGTGCAGGTCCTGGAGCTTAAACTCAGGATCTGGGCACTGTCTCTGAGCTTCTTTTAGCTCTTCTTTTGGGGGGTGGGTAAGACGCTTTTTGGAACGGTGGATCCTCAGCAATCAGTCTCCTGAGTAGCTTGGATTACAGGCGTGTGCGACTAGTACCGGGCTATGGGAGCTTGCTTCCCATCACACCCATGCCCCCAGCAAGTCAGGAAGCCTTGGCATCTCCGACTCGTGTTTGCTGAGCCTCGGGCTGTGATACTTTCCGATCTCCCTGTCCAATCGTTCTATGAATGAGAGAAGCCATGGACAGAAAGGCTTTTTTCCTGGGGGCTCTCATGAGTATTTGTTTCCTGATTTTTTTTTTCTGCCCTGGAAAATTGCCTGGACTAAGGCCCAGATCTCAGGGGCTATGACCTACAACTGTATGTGTGGCCTATGCCAGGCCAGCAAGAGTCCACGCTCTGGTCCAGTCCCCACCCCCACCCTCCAGCACCCCAATCCTTCAGCCACACAAGCAGCTGGAGCCATGTGTCTCTACAGGGAAGGACAGCCACCCCCCTGGCCTGGCCAAACCCTTCCCAGGGCGGTCTGCCCAGAAAGCAGCAAAAGACATTAAATGAGATACAGTAAACTGCATGTTGGTTTTGGAATGGGGCCCAGTCTCAGGCTCATTCATTTGATACAGGCAGAAAGGACAAGCATGAATGTTCAACCTGTAATCCCAGGTAGTTTGGAGGCAGAGCCCCACCCCACCCCTCCCCCCCATCTCAATTTCAATAAGCAGGACATGGTGTTGAATGACAGTCATACCAGCTCAGTAGAAGCCAAGCCATAAATGAAACACTGCTCTAAAAATAACTAAAGCAAGCAGGCGGGTACCGGCAGCGGGTGCCTTTCATCCTACCAACTCAGGTGGCTGAGATCTGAGGATCAAGGTTCCAAACCAGCCAGGATGAAAAGCTCCATGTGACTCTTATCTCCAATGAACCAGCAAAAGGTAGAAGTGGAGATGTAGCTCAAACAATAGAGCAGCACTAGCTTTAAGAGAAAAAGTTAAGCAAAGACCATGGGGGCCTGAGTTCAAGTCCCAGGACTGGCGCGCGCGCGCGCGCACACACACACACACACACACACACACACAATCCTAACTAAAAAGGAGGGGGCTGCTGGGAAGATAGCTCAGTGGTAGAGCGCTTGCCTTGCATGCCTGAAGCCCTGGGTTCGATTCCTCAAACTCCAATATGTTACCCTGAGCTCTTTGCTCAAGTCTAATGCTCTACCACTTGAGCCACAGCGCCACTTCCAACGTTTCTGATGGTTCATTAGAGATGAGAGTCTCATGAGCTTTCCTGCCCAGGCTGGCTTCCAACCGCGATCCTCAGCTCTCAGCCTCCAGAGTAGCTAGGCTTATAAGCATTGAGCCACTGGTGCCAGGTACAACTTTACTTATTTTTTATTTTTGCCAGTCCTGGGGCTTGATTGAACTCAGGGCCCGGGCACTGTCCCTGAGCCTTTTCTGCTCAAGGCTAGCTCTCTACTACTTGAGCCACAGCGCCACTTCCAGCTTTTTCTGTATGTGGTACTGGGGAATTGAACTCAGGGCTTCATGCATGCTAGGCAAGTGCTTTACTACTGAGCCACATTCCCAGCCCCTAATGGATGATGATGATGGTTTACACAAGGTACAAATAAGTACATTGCGAGATGTCCTTACCACCTCAGCTCCAGCCCACGGGCGCCCCCTCCAGGTCAAGCCCTGTCACTTCACCTAAATACTCGGCCTATGGACTTTTTGCACTTAACAAGAGTCTCAAGAATCCTTTTCCTGGGATTTCACACACATTTGCTCATGGTTTTTTCTTTGGCTAAGCCACAGATTTGTCAGCTAGTCCCCAACTCCTTGTCACAATGCTGCTTCCACACCCCATAACAATGGATGATTTGAGGCCGTGAAGGCAAAGAGACTAAATAGTCATAGACAAGTTAGGCATACAGATAGTCCCTGCTTCCATGTATTGACTTAGAATGTTTCCGTGTGTTTGTGCTCATTGGTTCTGGGACTTGAACTCAGGGCCCAAGAGCTATTCTGGAGCTTTTTTTTTTTTTTTTGCTCAAGGCTATAGCGCTCTACCATTTTGAGCTACAGCTCCACTCCCAGTTTTCTAGTGGTTCATTGGAGAGGAGTCTCATGGA